GAATAATGTCCAGGATTATTACTTTTTTTAAAAAAAAATTTTTTATTTGTTCCAGTTTTATGTACAATAGTTACAGAATACTGTACAAAAGGGAAAATTGTCACTGCTCTGAATCGTTGTGCATAAACAGCTTAGGTAGGTTTCACACATTCAATTTGAATGTCCCTGCAAATAGGCATCAAAACATCCAAGATACCTCCAAGGTACAGGACAGACCAGTTTTACAGGTTTCTCTAGTGTAATTGTTGAAAAAAAAAATGCTGTTGGCTACACAGATTTCCCATTAAAGAAAAACTACCCAGCCATATTGCACCCGTCCCAATAAAAATACAAGTGTAGCACGTCCCGCTAAGTCATTGGTTTCTAGCAAATGCCTTTGCAGCCATTGGATTTTTTTTTTTCTCAACAAAAGATCCCTCCTCTGGGGTAGCTTTTCCACCCATCTTTTCTTAATTTACTGTTTGACACTTAAGAGCATTGGTCTCCGGGTGGCGGTTTGAGAGACACAAGGATGTTTCTGGAAGGCCAAAGGTAGGTTACATCAGTAGCAGAAGCATCACCGAGGTCTTTTGGCTTACACTTTCTTCTTAGGAGGAGAGCAGCAGAAAGAGGAAGAGAAAATACAAAAACAACTAGCATATAAGGAACGGAAACAGTAAAAAAAAAAAAAGTTAAGCAGGGCGGCATTAAAACTAGGTCTAGGGTCTGAAGACCTTAGAGGGCCTCCTCTTAAATAAGCCACACAGATGACCAGGGACCAAGTGGCATACACGTAGCCACTGGTGGGTCCGTTTACTCACTAAAGCCCAGTAGAGAACCTAGTTTTCAGCACCTGATGAAGGGAGCTTTGACTTTCAGAAGCTCATACCCTTAAAACCTTTTTGGTTCCTAAGTTGCTACTGGACTCAAATCCAGCTGTCCCACTGCGGAGCAACATGGCTACCCACTGACACTAGCTTTCAGCATGGTTCAGATCTCCGGATATTTCACCTGAAATCATAAACTATGGTTTGTTCTCCACCCTGCGATTAGGCCACACAATGAAACTATGATGTTTTGCTGTAGAAGCAATTTCTTTTCTTTTTTTTTAGCAGCGCAGCCGAGGGAGTAAGCTGAAGGAGCCCCCAGACTTATATCCATAACTGCAGCTTGACAATATGGGCAGAATTCAGCCAGCTAGTCTGCTGGTGGTAAACAGGGGTGTCCTCTTTGCCTCCACAAAGAGGCTTTTCTAAGAATTAGAGGATCTGCAGACATAAATTGGGATGGGGGCTACAATATGGAGGGGAAATTGGGTGAAAAAAGCTGGCTAAATCCAAACCCTGTCTTCCATATATCCCTTCACCCATAACTATCTGAAGGGTCAGAGGACTCTTCCAAGAGCAGCATTTCAAGGATCCACAGCAGGAGAGCAGAGGCATTCCTTGATCCAAGCCTGAGTGATTAGGATGCATGTTCAGCATTTCTGCTTTAATAAAGCTGCATCACTAGCTTATTTGCTCGGTCAACACCAGCACGTTCTCTAACCAACCCACCAAGCTAAACCCATCCAAATACACTACTCTTTTCATTACAGCATAATCCACTGTTCTGCTGCCACACTCCCACTTGCAGAAACCAGAAGTTAAAAGTCCCAGTTCCCCCCAAGAACATTTACGTAACAAGCTTCCAGGCAGAAAGCGTCAGCCTTCCAACTTGCAGAGGTAGTTAAGGCAAGCTTCGCCCGAGGAACAAAGGGATTTCCTGTATCCCACGTGATTTTAAAATGAAATTCCACACAGTGTGTCACAGAATTATGAGGATGGAAGCAAAGGGTGTCGAACTTTGCTTCCTCCAGCGGGCTTCTGAATGACCACCCGCAGGCAGGGTTCAGATAATGTTGTTCCACGCACATTGAAAGAGAAGATTTTGTTTTGAAAGCAACACTATGAAAACGTGTGCGTAGCTGAGAGATTTGCAACGGCATCCTAAACAGGATTGCACCTTTCTAAACCCACTGAAATCAAACGGGGTTTGAAGGGTGGAAGCTATGTGTAGGATAGCACCAGGAGCCACTGATCCACAGAGAGGCAGGACGCTACTTACAGAAAAGCTCCATCGAACTGTTCACAGTTAAGTGGTTTGCCAGCTGCAGGAAAGGGGAGCACTGAATCCCTACATACCACTTACACAATGTCTTAAGAACAATCCTTGTTCCTTTGGAGAACGGAGAAGAGACAGGTGGGGCTCCCCAATGGAAGAACACCCGCTGAATTCTGGTACGAGCTACACTGAGCTTCATTGTCAGGGACAGACAGGTATCGTTCGGGTTCTCGGGAGGAGCAGCAGCTATGACAGAATTTACCCAAATACTGGTGCACATTTGGGACTTGGGGTGGGGGTAATTTTTTTTTTTTTAAAAGAAGAGTCCTTTTATTTCCTGTTTTTCTGTAACGGATATCGTAAGGCAATAAGCCATTGTATAAAGGAAGTGAAATCCTAAATAACGTTAAAAGAATGCTTTGTACAGACGAAAAATTTACAGTTTCTATATTTAATATTTTTTTAAAAACCATTAATATACCAAGACAGGTGCACCAGCCTTCGGCTTCAGAAGTTAAAAGCTTGAAGGTTGCTGGATTGCTGGGCCCGCTTCACATCCACTTAGATCTCCTCTAAGCTGCCTATCTTCTGACCTCATATACATAAGGAACACTGTGACCGTAGCGAACGTTGCGGCGTTAACGGGGAAGGCACGAAGCAGTGTGGACGTGAGCCCCCTTGTGAATACTCTCCAACCTTCACTGTGGTAGCTTTTTCGAACACAGTCCAGAATGCCCTTGTACTGTACCACCCCACCGACGCCATCGGCCTGAAGGCGAGACTTGATCACGTCCACAGGGTACGTCGACAGCCAGGAGACAATTCCAGACATGCCTCCTGCCAACAGTAACTTAGGTATAATGTAACTGTCCTCCGCCTCGCAACCAAGATACCTGGTAAGGTAGTCGTAGGTCAGAAAGTAAAACCCAAAACTGGGAGTCTCCCGCAGGAATGTGGAAACCATGCCCTTGTTGATGCCCTTCAAGCCTTCCTTTCGGTAGATCTTCACCAGACAGTCCAGGGAATTCTTGTAGTTCTTAGACTTCAGCCGGTATTCGCCAGTCCCTTGCAGCTGCATGCGGGTCTTTGCCAGCTCCATGGGGCAGCAGATCACGCACTGAATGGCGCCCGCAGCTGACCCTGCAAGGAACTGGTTTAATGGCGTATCGTTTCCCAGAGCGCGGATGGTGTTTCCTTGAACGCCAAACACAAGGGCGTTAATGAAGGTAAGTCCCATCATAGGTGACCCAATCCCTTTATAAAGTCCAAAGGCCTAAGGAAGAAAAGGTAAAAAGGGACATTTTAAGAACCATGTTGACAGCCTAAAGTTGCAACTGAAAGTTCCTACAGTGTTCTCTTTCCATCATAAGTATAGGGTTGCATCCCATGACTTCCTCCCACCAAATTGTCCTTCAGCAAAGAAAGATTTCTCTCTAACAGAAAGGAAACCTTTCCCTATGAGAAAAAAATTCAACTTTAGGGGAATTCTTTCTCCCTTGAAGGAGACTTAGCAGAGAGGAGTCACAGGATCCAACTCAGAGGGAGGAAGTTTTGGAGTTGCAAGTAAAAAAAAAAACCACCCTGTAATTTCAACTCATTTATGTTGTACTGAACTTCCCGTAACTTCTAGCTCTTCTAGACTGTTAATGTTTTATCTGTATAAAGCATGGTGAAGCTTTTTGGTGGGGGAGGGGAGAGCTGCATAAATAAATCATTATTTATCAGAATCAGCAATGGTTGGTCAACACCCATGTGGACATGATAGAGGTTTATAAAATTATGCACAGGGTGGAGAGTTGACAAAGAAATTTTTCTCCCTCTCCCAAAATACTAAAACTCAAGGGCGTCCAATGAAACTGACAGGCAGTAGGTTCAGGATGGACAATAGGAAATACTATGCACAGAGCATGATTAAAATATGGAATTTGCTACCAGAGGATGTAGTGATGGCCACAGGACTAAACAGTTTATAAGGGGATTAGACAGATTCATGGAGGATAAGTCTGTCAACGGCTACTGAGGGGAACATCCACATTCAGAGGCACTAAGCCTTTGAATCCCAGAGCCAGGAGGCAACATGAGGGGAAGGCCTCAGCCTCTATGCCCAGTTGTTGGCCTTCCAGAGGAACTGGTTGGCCGCTGTGTGAGACAGGATGCTGGACTAGATGATCCAGTAGGGCTCTCATGCTTTTAATATTATCTGATAATAGAAGTTGCCACAATTTTCCACACACCTCAAACTTTTCTGTGGCTCACCTTTTTCCTCATGATTTGTGGAATTCCACACTCAGAAAGGCAGCTTGCTAGAATATTTTCCCAGAATGCAAAGCAGCCACACCTTCAGAGCACTCGCATCTTACGGCACAGCACGACAAAGACTGCTGTGCTTTGTGGAAATAATTCCTCTTGATTTCATCACAGCCTCAGTTTACAGTCAAGGCCAGGAGTAAAACACACATTTGACCCCAGAGCTCCAAGATGATAACAGTGCAATGCCATGACAGATCTGATTTCTAGTGCTCCACCTTTTAAACGGCAGAGATTATGTTCACACCTGATTGGTGTGGTATAATTGTAAAAGTTTGCAATTGTAAAAGTACTGCACCAGAGAGGGTGCAATAGAGATTAATTTATTTAATAATTTTTAAGGACAGCTTGGAGTACGTGCACAGTCCTTTGCATTGTTATCCTTTATGCTCAGTATCTGAATGGAACGTTGCGGGAAACTGACTGTATAAAGCTGAAGTTCTTGATCTAATGGAGAGCTAAAGGTCAGCAGAGTCTAATAAATACACGAGGCACAAAAAAGCCAATGTGGCTACATAAAAAGCCAAATGAGCTGAAACTCAGAAAGGAATGGAAGATGGGAGCGGTCAAAAAGGACATCTACCAACAAGCAGCCCAGCCTCGTAGCGACAGTCTCAGGAAAGCTAAAACTCAGTGAGGGGTGCAACCAAAAACATTTTCCCAGCTATGTCCAAAAAGAAAAAAGGAAGGAAAGAGTTGAAGAAGGGAAGAGATTGGATTTATACCCCACCCTTCACTACCCGAAGGAGTCTCAGAGCGGCTTAAAATCCCTTTCCTGCCCCACAACAGACACCCTGAGATAGGTGGGGATGAGAGAGCTCTTTGAGAACTGCTCGAGGGAACTTGTGACTGACCCAAGGTCACACCAGCAGCTGCCATGCAGAGGAGTGCGGAATCAAACCCGGTTCTCCCAGATTAGTGTCTGTGCTCCTTAGTAGGCACATAGATGAACAAAACCTATTGAGGCAGACTCAGCACGGTTTCTGTAAGGGAAGATCTTGTCTCACTAACCTGTTAGTGTTCTTTGAGGGGGTGAACAAACATGTGGACAAGGGGGATCCAATAGATATTATTTACCTTGACTTCCAGAAAGCTTTTGATAAAGTTCCTCATCAAAGGCTCCTAAGTAAGCTCAAAAATCATGGGATAAAAGGACAAGTCCTTTTATGGATCAAAAACTGGCTAATTAATAGAAAACAGAGAGTGAGTATAAATGGGCAATTTTCTCAGTGGAGGGAGGTAAGCAGTGGGGTACCGCAGGGATCAGTACTTGGTCCACTGCTTTTTAACTTGTTCATTAATGATTTGGAGATGGGAGTAAGCAGTGAAGTGGCTAAATTTGCGGATGATACAAAGTTGTTCAGGGTGGTGAAAACCAGTGAGGATTGTGAGGCACTCCAAAGGGATCTGTCAAGGATGGGCGAGTGGGCGTCAACATGGCAAATGGGGTTCAATGTGGCCAAGTGCAAGGTGATGCACATTGGAGCCAAAAATCCTAAATATAAATACACATTGATGGGGTCTGAACTGGCAGAGACTGAGCAAGAGAGAGATCTTGGAGTTGTAGTGGATAACTCACTGAAAATGTCGAGACAGTGTGTGACTGCAATAAAGAAGGCCAATGCTATGCTGGGGATTATTAGGAAGGGTATTGAAAACAGATCAGCCAATATAATAATGCCCCTATATAAATCAATGGTGAGACCTCATTTGGAATACTGTGTGCAGTTCTGGGCACCACACCTTAAAAAGGATATTATAGCTTTGGAAAAAGTGCAGAAAAGGGCAACTCGAATGATAAAAGGGTTGGAACACTTTCCCTATGAGGAAAGGTTAAAGCGCTTAGGGCTCTTTAGCTTGGAGAAAAGACGACTGAGGGGTGACATGATCGAGGTTTATAAGATTATGCATGGGAAAGAGCAGGTAAAGAAAGAGGTACTTTTCTCCCTTTCTCACAATACAAGAACTCGTGGGCACTCCATGAAACTGCAGAGCGGTCGGGTTAGAACGGATAAAAGGAAGTACTTCTTCACCCAAAGAGTGATTAACACATGGAATTCACTGCCACAGGAAGTGGTGGGTGCTACAAGCATGGACGGCTTCAAAAGGGAATTAGATAAGCATATGGAGCAGAGGTCCATCAGTGGCTATTAGCCACAAGGTATAGCTAGGGGCTCTGGGGCAAGTGATGCTCTGTCTTCTTGGTGCTTGGGGGGGGGGTCAACAGTGGGAGGGCTTCTAATGTCCTGGCCCCACTGCTGGACCTCCTGATGGCACTGGTATTTCTGGCCACTGTGTGACACAGAGTGTTGGACTGGATGGGCCTTTGGCCTGATCCAACATTGGCGTCTCTTATGTTCTTATGTTAACCACTACACCAAACTGGCTCTCCAGTAGGCCGGCTGCTCAGGGAAGAGGACGGTGTGTCCAAGAGTGACAAAGGGACAGCAGAACGGTCCAGAACTCCTATTTTACCGTAATCTTCTCCCAAAAGGGGAGCTGTGTGCAGCAAAGCAAACGTTTGGTGAAACAATGAAGGGACGGGACTGGGTTCTACTGCTCTTTGGCATTTTAAATTATGTACTAAGAATAGCCTTTAGCCGCTGTGGTATATATATGTTTTAATAAATATTTCCTGTACTACAGATCAAGATGGGTAACCATGTTAGCCTGTCTGTAGCAGTAGAAAAGAGCAAGAGTCCAGGAGCACCTTAAAGACTAACAAAATATGTGGCAGGGTATGAGCTTTCATGAGTCATTGCTCACTTCTTCAGATTCTGAAGAATCTTGCTCTTTTCTGATCCTGTACTATAGTTATGTATGGAGCTGCGGTGGCTTAAATGGTTAAGACGCTGAACTGCAGGCTGTGGAAGGTAGTTCAGCAGTTCGAGACCTGGGTGCCGCATGACGGAGTGAGCTCCCGTCTCTAGTTCCAGCTCCTGCCAACCTAGCAGTTCGAAAGCAAGAAATTGCAAGTAGATAAATAGGTACCACTTCGGTGGGAAGGTAACAGCGTTCCGTGCGCCTTGGTTTTTAGTCATGCCAGCCACATGACCACGGAAACGTCTTCGGACAGCGCTGGCTCTTCGGCTTTGAAACGGAGATGAGCACCGCAACCCTAGAGTCGGATTTGACTGGCTTTCGAGCAAGGGAACCTTTACCTTTTTTACTATAGTTATGTGGTGGTCAAGAATGTTGGAATAAGAACACCTGGGTTGAAATCCTCACTCAACCACCGAGTGTCCTCTGGCAAGCCATTCTCTCAGTCTAACCTGCCTCAAAGGGTTGTTATGAGTACAAAACGGAGGAGGGTTCTCCCCAACCACCCTGTTAGCATCCAACGTCAGGTCATTCTGAAGTGGGCTAGCTTTCCTAAATGTCTTGCTCTGATTTGCTAAGAACACAAAATTCAGGAGGGACGGTGGTGGTTCTTTTTAATAAGGGAGAGACCTTCAAAACATAACCCCCCACAAACTACAGTGTTACGCAGGATGAGTCTAACACTTCTTCCCACAGTGAGAACAGAGAAGTATTTAGTTAAACTGAGCTCAGTGCTGTCCAAAATACAATATTAAAATGATAAAGTGCACTGGAATATGAAGCATGCTCCTCCGTTTAGTCAGAGACTCATGAGGATGCACCTGAAGCCCCCTTTTCACATTTAACTGCAGCACCGACTCCTCCCCTGTGCTCCGCGGGTAACATGAGAAGCCCCCAGGGACGACTGCCTGTAGCTGAACACAGAGAATGCAGAAGACCCCTGAACCAATCCTTGGCGTCTCTCAACATCTCCAGTAGCAGGTGTTAAGAGAAATATCCTCTGCCCATGACTCCGGAGAGGCACTGGCCGTCAGAGTAGACAATACAGAGCTACATCGACCTGATGGCCTCACTCTGTGTAAGGCAACCTGATAATCAAGGAAGCAGGAGAGTCTATGGCTGTGTGACAGAACGCATACTTGGCAGAGTCTCAGGTTCCAACCCTGCCATCTACAGTTAGAGCACTTAAAGCAACTGGAAAGATCTCTGCCCAAGGCAGGAAAACGGGGGGGGGGTGTGTGACACTGGTAGAAGGAGATGTCACAGGACTTCTCCCCACACCTTTGTAATATCAGCCGAGCCCCACCATCTTCTATGGCCTGCTGTTGCCAGAGTGTGGACTGAGATCCATCCAGAGCTGAGAGAGACCACCGACTCAGCCTTGTCCTCCTCTATGCCTGAGGCCCGGAGGGAAATTTTGTCCGGGGTGTGTGTGTGTTTGTGTGTGTGTGCTGTGACCAGTGTTCCCTCTAAGCTGAGTTAGTGTGAGCTAGCTCAGAGTTTTTTAGCCTCTGGCTCACACATTTTTGTCTTCGCTCAGGAAGGATGGCTCCAGAGCAAACTAATTTATGCAGTGGCCAAATCGCTCGGTCACCACTTTAACGCCAGTAGCTCACAAAGTAGAATTTCTGCTCCGCAGAACAAGACTCCGAAGCTTAGAGGGAACATTGGCTGTGGCTCATTTGATCCCCGTCTCGTGAGATCTGTGGCACTTTCATACATTACAATTTTGTTTCTTACTATAAACCGCCCTGGGGTTCTGCTTGGCAGGAGAAAAGCGGGGTAAAAACAAACAAATACAATATGAAGCGATTTGAAAAGCCACCTGGGAGGCTGGTAGGGAGCAACAGCACTCATGGAGACCTTCACCCAGATGAGTGAAATGGAGTCTGGGTACCATCACCTCCCCCTCCTCTTATAACCCAAAGCAAAACTCTGTGTGTGTGTGTGTATCCCCCCCCCTTCACAGGTTACTCACCGATTCTTGCTTTATGATAGACTGAAAGCAATGAAAGGTCCCACGGTACAGCGGCTTCTTGATATTTTGAACTTGGAGGCGCACCTATAAAATGTAGCAAAAACTTATTGACGTGGCAAACACAGCAGGCAGTGCACTAGTACCTTTGTCTGGGTACACAGTCACAATACCACAGCGCCGCGCTAGGCAGTTCAAGAGAAATGTCTTCTATTTGGGAAACTGCTCCATATTTGAGGTAAATGTTTGCATGGAATTAGGGGGTGGGGGGTGTTCTAGGACTCTAATAATAATAATTAAAAAATAAGAACAAAGAACAACAATAAGACCATTCTTTTATTTATTCAGGGAATTTATATGTCACCGTTCCAGATGCCTGCTTGAGGCGTCTTTTGATCTTTCCCCGCCTCAGCTAAAGCTTTTTACAAGTCTGAAACGATCCACAATTCCTGCAGCAAATTTAATTTCTTCAGTGTCATGAGGTGTAGTCTGTGACCTACTATAAGGTTTTTTATTTGTTTAGATATTTGTAACCCATTTTTCTCCCCAATGAGGACCCCAAAGCGGCTTACAACATCATTCTCCCTCCTCCATTTTTACCTCAGAACAACAATTCTCTGAAGTAGTTTAGAATGAGAAAGAGTGACAAGCCTGAGGTAACCTAGTGGGCTTCCATGACAGTTACGGATCAGGATTAGAATAGCACCTCTGCCTGTCATAAGTAAGTATTGCGCCTCTAGGCAAACAGTACAGTCCTACAAAATAATAAACCCTTCTAAGCCCGTGGACTTAGAAGGGTCTAACTCTGTTTAGGACTGCAGTGTAAAATAAGTATTTTACGCCCTTTATCATTTTCTTTTCCGATATGTATTCCAGCATTCTATATACAAAAGTGCAGGTTCAGTGAATCCCGTTTTGAGAAAACACTGGTTAGGGAAAGCAACAGGGGAAAGCCGGCCCTTACTGTGAATATAGATATAGAGGTCTTTATACATATTCTGCCATTTCACACATGGCTTTCCCCTTCCGGTAAAGAGCTGGATCTGAAGCTGTTTGCCATTTCAGACTGCACCGCTTTTTCCCGCTTTTTCCCTGCCATTTTTCGCCCGTGCGGAGGATCGCCGACTTTTTTGGGGGGGAACGTTCGCTTTAGAGCGCTATAGCAGTATAACAAAACACTCCATGCATTCCAATGTGATTGACATAATGCTTTTTGTTTTTAGCGCTATAAAGCAAACATTAAAAAAAAAAAAGCCGGAGATCGCCCGTGCGGACAAAAAACGGTGGGGAAAAGCGCATCGGAACCGGGAGACGAAACTGAGGAGTACTTGGAAGTGGTTGACAGGTAAAACGCTTCAGCCCCGTTTCCTAAACGGGACAGAAGTGATTGTGTATGAAATGACAAATATATTCTGGAAGGGAACCGGTTCTCAAATGGTTCTGTCTGAAATGACAGACCAGAAACCATTTGGGAACTGTTCCTCTTCCGGAATATATCGCCTGTCAGAAATTCCTCACAGTTTTGTAATCAATGAAATACCTGCTGTAAAAGTTTAACTTGTTCAGCAGTATCTCAAATACAAAAAAACAATTCTGGCTTGGAATCTCAAGAGCATCTCTGTCGGTAATATTTTGTTAATCTTACACCCCACTGTAGTCTTGCTGTGAATTCCCATTAAGCTATACTTGCTAGATCACTTCTTCCTGTATCTACAGAGCCAAGCTTAACTGCAAGGAAACCTTAACATCTCAGGTACCAAACATTTTGATTAAAAATACACTGAGGGTGAACCCATGAGCCAAGCAAAAGGCAATACCTGAAATGCATTCATATCGACATTTGCACATGGTGTGTGGGGGGAAACAGTAAATATTTAACAGGCTCCCCATTTAAAGAGCGGCTGAAACAGAATTTGCAATGCAAAAAAAGGGTTTGTTCCACAACATATCTAAACCTTAAGCGCCACGGGGGGAATAAATACACACAGTACAAAATTAATCGCTAAACAAAGCCACGTTATTTTTTTTATTGCTCGTACTTAAAACAAACCTTGTCCCCCCCCTCCCTCCACTTCAGAGCACTAGAAACATTTTTTTAGAAACTAAAAATTTAAAAGAAAAAGAAAAAGAGGGGAATACACCATAAGAAGTTTCCTGGTATATATATATTTGTTGTTGCTGTTGTTTATAAAATTTGAACTAATCATACATGTTGGAATAAATTAAGACCGAGAGAAACAGAACGTTCACCTGGTCTATACTTACTAGGTAACTCTCCCGTGATGAGGCTTATCTGTCATCTACAACAAAGTAACACTTTTGCTGTTAATGAAGACAGCCCCTGGCTCAGAAAGTAAAGGCAGTTAAGCAACAAAGCAATTGAACACATCACATCAACAAACTGGGGGCGGGGCGGGTGGGAGCAAGTAGTTGCCACTCAGACGAGCTGGCTCAGAGTCAACTCGGCCTCTTTTCACCGCCATATGCCCCTTCAGCCCCACACCTCCCCACCCACTGCCCTACTTTGAACAACTACTAAAAAAAAAAAATATATCTTTCCAAGGATTCAAACTTTGCTTTGAATCCAAAAAAATTTTTTTAAGAAGGAAATTATCCTTTAGAAAGTTTGCATTTTTAAATTCAGGTGAATTCGTAAGATTTGCAGGACAAGTTTATCAACAGTGCATGGATATTAACCCACATTAAGATCACACTAGTCCCCAGCAGCCCAGCGGTGGATAGATAAGTTAGAATAATGCTTGGTGCACTTTCTTGGAAGCAAGCCTATTGAACTGAGCAGAATCATGCACTGGATCAGGGCGCAAGGTCGATATAGGAAGCAAGCTCAGCATTTCACATAACCAAAATGCAGGAATATTTGTTAAGAAAAAGATTAATTAACCCTGAATCCGTTTGCACTGGAAATATGCTCAACGAGCCTTGCTTCCAAGTAAATTAATGTATTGCTCAGAGGATACCAGGCTATGCTTCTATGCGGTTAGATGAGCTCCATGAAGTTGGGTGAGCGGGTGGGTTAGAATAACAAAACAAGACCGTCTTATTCCAGCCCTCCTTTTTCAAGCACATGTTTATGGAGAACCATAGCATGCTGAGTTCCCGAGGAACCCTGGCAGGGGGTTAATATGCAAGTCTATGGAATCTTGCTGAAATCAGTTCACAGCCAAAAAGGCTTTACAGAAAAGGCGCCCAGAAAACATACAGCTGGCAAGCCAAAACACTTCATATTTCATCCAAAAAACTTATCAGCGACTGAATTATTTATAGTTGCCAAGTATTACTGGTTCTGCAAAAAACTTAACAGATTGCTCCTACCCACAACTAAGCCAAAATCTTTGTATTTTAGCCCATCTTTTTTCTAGGTTAGCAGTCCGATTCCATGCACACCCAAGTCAGAAATAAGCCCCAGAGCTTACTTCCAAGTCAGTTTAAATCCAGGTGTTCAAGATAATATATCCCATGGGTCATAATATATGCCATGGGTCACTGAATCCTGTACGATGCATGCCATGAGCCAAGCATTAGGCAATAAAATACTATGGCACTGTATCTCCAGCACTTCAAAAACGTAACCAAAAAAACAGGGGGAATGACATTTAGAAACACGCAACATCCCGCCTTGGGTAGAGAGAAAGTAAAGTTAGGCTGTTTTGTCATGTAGCTAACAGGTGCCAGGGCAATATAAATCACAAATTAGTCCTTCTAAAGGAAATGGGCGGGGAGGGGGGGGACTACGCTAAGGTAGCAATAAAGCCAAATTAAAAGGAGTGCAGTTATTACAAGATAGTGTTGAAGAGCTGCAGTCCTAGCTGTTGGTAGTAGGTGCTGTGGAATTTCTGGTTCAAGTGTGGCTGAAGACCCACAATTCAGATCTCCTTTAACCACATGTTACTCAAGGAATTACATGACCTAGAATAGAATGTTCAAAGTTCTTCGACTGTACAGTTAATTTGATAGTTTGCCACAAGATGTTCCAGTGCTTTAATAAGACTGTAAATCTAACCTGAGGTCTCTGTACCAGGATTAAGTCTATGAGGGTGTTAATTTAGAGAGTCTGAAAATGTCTAGATGTTTTTCTTTGTTACCGGTGCCCTCTTCAGCCTAAACACTTATCATAAAGAAGTGTATGAAAAATCAACCCACCTTAACAGTGTCGAATGGGTGTCCTACCATCACCCCTGCGGCACCTGAAATAAAGTGGAAGAAATTACTACATTTACCATTTGCCAACCACATAAAGTCAGCTCTTCAAAACATAGAAATCACACATTTCCTGCTCACAGGACGTATGGTGAGCAGAGACAAAATGGTTCAGCCACTGACAGTGGGCAGGTTGTGGGATATGAAGCAAAACAGATCTAAGAAACTTTCAGGTGGGTAGCTATGCTGGATTGCAACAGAAAAACAAGTTTAGAGTCCAGAAGCACTTTAAAGACCAACAGGTAAAGGTTTCCCTTGCTCGAAAGCCAGTCAAATCTGACTCTAGAGATCTCCGTTTCCAAGCCAAAGAGCCAGCGCTGTCCAAAGACATTTCCGTGGTCACGTGGCTGGCATGACTACACACTGAGGTGCATGGAACGCTGTTACCTTCCCACCGAAGCAGTACCTATTTATCTACTTGCAACTTTCTTGCTTTTGAACTGCTAGGTTGGCTGGAGCTGGGACCAGAGACGGGAGCTCACTCCGTCATGCAGCACTCGGGTCTCGAACTGTTATACAATTATGGCACAGGGTACTCAGCAGAAGTCTCAGCCTTGTAGGTTCCGGGAAGGAAGAAAATTTTTGTATCCATTTCCTCAGGAACTTTTCTCTCCCAGCTGCGTGTTTTGGGCAGTAGAAAAATATATGTAGAAGCGAATCTACCATTGCTAATGGGCAGTCGCAGTAGTGTTGATTTGCTGGGATGCCCTGAAAGCGACCTTTCATCTGTGCAGATGCAAATGCATTCCACCGTGCCACCATGTGAGCTCTCCTCAACTTAGGGGATGAATAGCATATACAAATAGTGTGGTACATCAAATTTGATGGGTTATTTAATTCCTACATGGATTAGGGTAAGGTGGGGCAGCGGCAGAACAAAGTTTTGAGTCCAGCGGCACCTCTAAGACCAACAAAGTTTTGTTCAAGATATCAGCTTTCGTGTGCAAGCACGCTTCTTCAGATCTTCATATCTGAAGAAGTGTGCTTGCACATGAAAGATTATACCTTGAATAAAACCTTGTTGGTCTTAGAGGTGCCACTGGACTCAAAGATTTCCATACATTTGACAAAAGGAGCTCTGACTCGCAAAAGCTTGCACCCTGAAAATCTTATTGGTCTTTAAGGTGCTTCTGGACTCAGATCTTGCAAATCTAAGAATGGGGATCTGGAGGGATTTCACTAAAGGGCCATCCTACAAGAACCAACTCAGCTCCCAGCAGCTTCTCACTAGTGCAGCAAAAAATACATATATAATGGTATCACAGGCCTGTGATGTCATGAAGGGTCCAAGAAGGGTTTCCTAGAGAGTGGCAGTGGTGCCATGCAAAGCCTATTGGGGCGGGGGGGGGGACACTGTGGCCCAGTGGCAGAGTATCTGTTTTGCATGCAAAGTCCCAGATTCGATCCCAGGAACTCTCCAGTTAAAAGGATCAGGGAGGGGGTAATGTGAAAGGCCTCCATCTGAGACACTGGAGAACCGCTGCCAGTCAGAGTAGATAATCCTGACCTTGATAAGACCTATGGTCTAATTCAGTGTAAGGCAGCTTTGCATGTGTGTGTTCATGTTTGGCCTGGAAATACCACCTCTATCGCTTCAAGCAGAAAGGAGCTACATGCTGAAAAACACCGCATGTTAAGGAGCTCTGCTGTGTCAAACGTGATCTCAGTCTTTATGCACCATCCAGGAACAGACAAGGGGTGAACGTTCATGTTCAGAACAGCCAGGGAGCCACAATCCCCCATCCACATCCTATCCCCTTGGAAGCCGCTTCCAGCTAGCGCACAAAAAGTTGGATCCAGCCACTTTTTCTACTAATGAAAAAGCAAGGAGTCCTCACTGAACACCCCAAAATACTATGATGGGGACCATGGGACCTGTATGTAGAAAAGCCACATGGGATTGAGGCCATAGTAAAAGGAAAGATTGGGCAAGACCTCTGGCATCATGCACTAGAAACGCAGAACTTGCAGAACTGTAGCACCATTTTGTGGACCACACACAAAAAAACAACGCTGGTATGGGGGACACCAAGAGAACAATCACAGGTTCTGCAAACCGTACAACGCAAAACCCTACGTTCAGGTGAGAATATCCCCCCCCCCCCCAGTTCTGAAAATTTTTTCCATTGCTGCCTATCAGAATGGTCTACTCTGAACAAGGCAATTCACATAGTACATTCAGGAAGACAGCCTCCGGTCACGTGAGCAGTACCCAACTGCTCAGCACTACAGCAGAAGACAGGGTTTTTTTCCCTCTAGACAGATGATATTAGATAGACTGTGCCTAGCAACTGGCACTATCAGCAACCAGGCCTCCTAGCAAGGGATGCCAGAATTTAGGATTATCATATTTTGAAAAGCAAACAAAAAGAGGACATATTTCCTGATGGACTACTTCAAACGAGTGATCGCTGTGACAAACCTCATGTTAAATACCCCTACTATTCAAACTGTCATAACGGGCGATTCACTAGGAACATTCCTAACTTTCCGACCCCAAAAGAGGACGTTTTCATCCGTTTTTTAAAAAGAGCCAAAAAGAGGACAGACACCCAAAAGAGAGAACATGTCCTCTAAAAAGAGGACATCTGGTAACCCTACCAGAATCTATAGTTGATAAGCATTCTATGGCTGGGGGGTAAAGCCGAGCCCCGTGCCCCTCCCACTGGGCATTTCATTTGGATTTTGAGTCTTCGGGAAGAGGGCAGGGTTGAAATCTAACCAAAACATTACACCGCAAATACCATCCCCTGAAGGTCTCCCCTCCGGAAGAAACAATTGCGTGCCCCGCTAATCTTATTAAAACCGTGCCAATAGTTCTTAATCACATGTAAGTGGTTTAGACGCCACAAACGTGGAAGTACAGGGTGTTCCACATAACTAACTCTGCATGCGAGAGGAGGAGGGGAGGGGAGGGGGTGAAGCGCAGCCTCTCAAGCCTAGGAGCTGCATTCCTTGATCCAAATCTAAGCATGGTGGGGAAACAGTACTTCTGCTTCTCCATCTCTCCCCTCCCACCCCTCCAGGTTTGAGACCTTTAAAAAGCAAAGCCATGACTAGGAAAAAAGTCACATTTACTGAGGCCACGTATCGGGAGCTTCAGAATGCCACTGTTCAGATTTGGCTGTATGGATCAAGAATATATACCCAACAGCTCAGCCCTTCTGCTGCAACCATCAACAGCATGGATTTATTTGGCCGCAGGAGAGAATCGGTTTCATCACTCAGATTGGAAAGGCTAAAAGGCAATTCGAAGTAGCTAGAAAAGACCTGCAGCGAACCAAACACATTCCCAGAGCAGATGCTACAAAGAGCAGCCACGACGCTGTCAGTTTTGGAGGGGGGGGGCAGAGTTGGAGTTGGCTTCTGGGACCAGGAAGCACTTCCCTTTTCCCCGAAAGAGGAACTGCTGCGCCCGAACGTCATACTTTCCGACGCAAAACCGGTTTCCAATGAAGTCGACGCGCATACGGACTGCCCAGATGCACTCCGCGGCAAGGGGAAGGCGCTTTGCACTTGCTCAGAGAAGCGCTCCCCGTGCTAAGGGGCACTTAATCATGCTTTATTATTGCTGGAGCAAAGCCCCGTTACCGACCTATAAGCCTAGGATCACTTCCCGGCTTGGAGTGTCTAATTTACATCGGTGGAATCTATGGAAGCTGGAGGAAGATCGGCGTTCTTCTCGCTCTTGCGCGAGGCACCGCACGTTGTTAAACCGGAGACGGGAGAAGAAGGACCCCCAAGAAGAGCCTCCCCGACGGCAAAGTAAGACACCCAGTTCCTGGGCGCTGACTCACCAATCGAAGCCGGTGCTGCACTGATGGCGCGGGCAGGGACAATGGCGCCCTGGGGCCGCCGGGACAATGGGGGCCGCCGCGTCGATTGCACGGGCGGAGGCGTGCACGATTCCCCAGACTATGCCAGGAAAAGAGGGCCCGGGCCGGGGCAGCACAGCCACCGAGGCGCCCCTCCACTCCCCCCCCCCCCACCCTTCTTTCCAGCGGCGTCTTCCTCCAGCAACCCCGAGGCGAAGACGCGCCGGCCCTTACCTCCTACGCAGCCTGCTAGGAAATCCAGCGCCATCGCGGTCTTCCGAGCCGAAGCCTTTTCAGGGCGTCCTGGCCGGGCTCTTCTGCTACCGCAGCTGCTGCACCTTCACGCGATCGGGCGCTCCTCGACAGGCGAGCGAGCAAGCAAGCAAGGGAGCGGGCAGCAAGGGAGCTGTCTGGCTGGCTGGCCGGGCGGCCGGCTGCTTCTTCCGCCGCCTTCCCGCCGCGCTCCAGCTAGCCAAGCGAGCCAGCCACTCCGGTGCGCCTTTGCCAGCCCCGGCGCGCTCTCGCCTGCCAACCCCGTTCGGCTCCTTTCTATTTCTGACGCCAGAGCGAGGGAGGAGGGAGGGAGGAAGGAAGGGGGGGGGGAAGGCAACCTTATGGGGCTGAGGCAGCCTCCAATGGGCGACGGCTTGCTGGCCAACACCCTTCCCGAGGAGCCCTCCGCCCGGGCCGCTCATTGGCCTACTGAGCTGGGGAGGCTGCTGGGGCTGGGAAGGCAGTGGCTGGAAGCCTCGCCGAGGGGGGAAGGAAGGACGGGAGGGGAGACGGCGGAAGCGCCGCCTGCCCGACGGAGAGCACAAGCGGCGGCTTTGTGTCGGGCGGGATCCAGCTAGGCCGGGTGTGTGTGTGTGTGTGTGTGTGCGGCCTCGCTCCGCTGCTGCATTTCTTGGCTCCCCGGCCGAGGTGGGGGGAGGCGCTTCTCGTTTGCTACTTACAGACGTGGAAGTTTATCGGGGCCACCACGAGAGGTTGGCGGCTGGATCGGATCGGCTGTGGGTTTCCTCCGGCGGGCTCGGTTTCTCGACGGCGTCTTCGGTCAGTTTTAGCCGCCCGCTGGTGCCATTTCCCGTTAATCGGGATAGCAAAAAAAAGCCTGCCTGTTATAAGAACCCTCCTCTTTCAGACTAGTGGTCCGGGTAGTCCAGCATCTTGCAGGTTGCCAGCTTTGGGTTGGGAAATTCCTGGAGATTCAGAGAGGAAGCCTGGAATCGGTGGGGTTCGGGAAGGACCTCTGCTGGGTGAAATGTCATAACAGAGTTCACCTTTCAAAGCTGCCATTTTCTCCAGGGGAACTGATCTCTCTAGCCAGGTGACTGCTTGCAATTCCGGGGGAATCTCCAGTCCTCATCTGGAGGTTGGCAACCCATTGCTTAACACAGTAACCAACCGGGTGCCCAGAAGGCCAAGACCTTTTAATGTTGTCTCCTTCTCTTCCGAGGTTTACTTTCTAGAGCTGTGAAGGTAACCCCATTACTCATTGTGATTAATATTAATGAACCCCTTGCTCTGTGATTCTGTCCATTTCCAGAGTTGCCTACAGCAGGATAGCCTTTTGTCACACTGGCCATTAAAAACACACCTGCTTGGTTGATTGATGCTGTTTTTGGGTACCCAATTTATTTTTCCCCTTCTTGTTATACTTCCTGTCAGGAACATACAACTGCCAGTACCAGCACCTCCAAACACGTGCAGAGTGCCTTTTGGTTGCAACAGCAGTCAATTTCATCTAGTTGGATATTAACTACAAGAGCACACTTGGTGGTATTTAGCTGCAAAATCTGGCAAGCAGCTATCTTTGTTGCTTCATCAGATGTGCCCAGCGAGCTTACAAGCAAATCCTAATGAGGGCAGACATCTTTCTTTGTTCAGCCCCAGAAACTGATACATTATTTCTGAGGCCTTCTAATAAAGCTGGGTCATGTTCCAGTGTGAGAATGGGCTGTTAATTGTGAGTTGTCATCTTGTTTATTACCACAAAACTTGCCAAGTGGCAATAAGCAAGCCCTTTCTTCAGGCTTTCTCTGGTACTTTCATTCCTGTATAAACTAATAGTGATGATTACAAAGAGACTAAAATTGCTATGTGATGTATAAATATTAAAAATAAATCAGGTCCTGCCTGCATACTTGCAGTTTAAAAAACAGGAGAAAAGGATTTAAGAAAACCAGTTGGGAAGAGGTGGGGTGAATAGAAATATCTTCACGATACAGCTACAATATAGTCCAATACAGGGGTGTTAAACTCATTTGTTATGAGGGCCGGATCTGACCTAAATGCTACTTTGTTGGGCCGGGCCATGTGTGTCATAAAATGTAATGTCAGTTAGCAAAGATATTAGCTTTATAAAGGACACCAACAAACACAAAGGGTTTTTTAAAACTTAAAATACAACCATGCTTTAAACAGTAACACTCTTGTTTATTTAACAGTCTTTGATAACTGACACCTCCAAAACCTCCCCCCCCCCTTAAAATATGCCTACCTAAAATGGAAAGTTGGGGAGGGGGATAGTGGGATTTGGCAATGCAAGTTTTTAAAATAAAACATCAAGATAAAGCACAAGGATCACAGCAGAAGCTAAAAATAAAAACTAAAAATATAAAATGCTCTGAGCCTAGGAAAACATGAAATGGCTGGGCCTTGCAAGCTCTCTCCCCCCTCCCCTCAGAATGGCAGTGACTCTCCAGTGTAATGTCCCCCTTTGGCTGTGGGTTCCCATGTTAGCGTACTCACTCAGGCACCTGTTCTCGGGTCCATTCAGCAGAGACAAGCTGGCTCAAAACATCAGCCTTTTATTTGCAAGGACATAACTTCAGGGGCATACAAACACTGGGAACTGAAACTACTTGAGCTGCACTCCATTGAAATACCGTGTTTTCCCGAAAATAAGACACTGTCTTATATTTATTTTTTCTCAAGAAGACACAATAGGGCTTATACCACACATGCATAGAAATCCTGCTAGGGCTTATTTTTGGGGTAGGTCTTATTTTCGGGAAAACAGGGTACATGGCAGCTCAAAAAGAAAGTTGCAAAGAAAATGTGGAATGGGTTTTCCATTAAGGTTTCTGGGCGCATATAGTCTACTCTGGGACTGGAATGACAGCCCCCAGAGCGGAATTTCATTCCCAGAACACAGTTGCTACTCCCAGAGACCATCATTCCACTCTGGGAGCTGCCATTCCAGTCCCAGAGTGGTCTATCTGGGCCCAGAGACCTTAAAGGAAAATCCATTCCGCATTTTCTTTGCAGGGTTTTTTTGTGCTTTAGCTGGAGGAGAAACAGGTGAAGACAAGGCCCAGCCAGCTGGGCAGCTCTGATCTCCCTTGGAAGGGTGAGAACAGGCAGGGGAGGGGGAAGGGGTGGAGAAGAGAGCCACAGGCCTGATCAAAGCCCTGGGCGGGCCGGTTCTGGCCCATGGGCCATAGGTTTGACAGCCCTGGTCTTGTATATATTTGTTACATATTTATAACCTGCTTTTCTCGCCAATGGGGACTTAAAGAGGCCTACAATCACCTTCCATTTTATCCTCACAACAATGACCCTGAGAAGTAGGTTGTAAGCATGGAAAGGCGGTATAGAAATTGAGTAAATAAAATATGAATAAACAGGTTAGGCTGAGAAAGAATGACTGAACCGAAGTGACCCAGTGGCAGAATGGGGAGGAGATTTGAATCTGGGTCTCCAGATCCACCCACCAGATGGCACAGGCCTTGCTGATCTGACCTGTGATAAGGAAGCAGGTGCTATATTTTGAGCATTTTCAAAATACCCCATAGTGAGATCAAGGAAGGGCAACTTTTTCACATTTTGGCCCATAGAGAGGGAATAGAAATATAGTTTGCGGGTAGCTGAGTTGGTCCAAAGCGAAATCCAAAAGAAAGCCATGTTTTGCCTCTGATTAGGGTCAACTAAGAAAATGTTTACATCTGGTTCTGATAAAAAGCATTACATGGCTTTTGTTTTTGCATAAGTGCAGCGTGAACTCCATGTAGTTAAACCACAGGAGCTGTGTCGCCTGCAGCTACATTGTGGGCTCTAATGCAATACAGTACGTAACATGTTGATTACAGCATTTTATGTTTATGTTTTCAGGCCTTTTAAGGAGCCTGCTGCCATTAGGGAATGGGAAAGGGTGCTTGGATACAAAGATCTTTGTGAAGTCTTAAAGCAGTACTGAAATGGTGAAAATATTCATAGAAATGGGGATTAGATCTAGACTAAATTCCCCCAAAGCAGAATGGAACTTTCCTGTGTCTCCCCTTCCACTATAGCCTGCTTATCTCTATGAAATGCTAGTCATGGGGGATAGGAATGGCATGGAGGGGGTCACCAATGTGAAGGGGGAATTGGAGGAAGTTAGTAATCTAGGCTGGATCCTACCCACGTATGTACAAATTCATGGATAGTAGCCAATTCTGTAGAACCTGTTGGGAGGAGAGAGTGTGTCTTTGTGATGCATATCGTCTTAAAGAATATCCCCCCCCCCCCGGATTTGTTTTATCCATATGAAAACTTATGCAGATTTAATTTATTAATCAGTTGGTTGAAACACACAGGGAGTCGATGTAAAAGTTCTTTTTATCAAATGGGGCTGCCCTAGTTATCAGTAATGCCTTGCGTACTCAATAGAACCGAGGGGGTATGCTGTCAGGTTACAGCCAAATTATGGTGACCCCGTAGGGTTTTCAAGGCAAGAGATGTTCAAAGATGGGTTTCCATTGCCTACCTCTGCGTAGAAGCCCTGGAGGTCTCCCATCCAAGCACAACCAGAGCCAACCCTGCTTAAGCTTCCAAGATCTGTTGTGATTGGGCAAGCCTGGGCCATCCAGGTCAGGTCCTACTTCCTGTGCAAGAAAAAGATGCTTCTTACAAAATAAAAAGCAGCCTGTGTCATAAATATGTAGAAAGCTAGTCAGGAAGAGGGGTGGAATATGGTGATAGAATATCTCAAGTGCAATAATATTATCCAGGGTTGCCAGGCTCCAGGTGGGGCCTGGAGACCTCCTGCTTTTACTGCTCATCTCCAGCTGACAGAGATCAGCTCCCCTGGAGAAAATGGCTGCTCTGGAGGGTGGACTCTGTGGCACTGTACCCTGCTGAGGCCCCTCCCCTCCCCAAACCCCGCCCTCTCCTGGCTCTACCCCCCCCCCCAAAGTCTCCAGGTATTTTCCATCCCAGACTTGGCAACCCTAATATTATCCCAACATATAGAGGAGTTATAAAGAGACTGATGCACGGAGAAGTGATTTCAGCTCATACTTTATTATGTACAGGGTAACGTGAGACACTTAGTCTGGCCCGAGGCCGGCTTATATCCACATAGCAAACAGGTTAATCAATAAAATTTAAAAGAAAAAGCAACCCGCCTTTTGTTTCAAACTGGATAATGTGACCTGTAGTGCATCATGTGACTTTGATGACACAGTTTTAAAAAAATCAGAATCGCTTTCCCAGGGCTTGACCTGGAGAGCCCAGGCAAGGCCGATCTCGTCAGATCTCAAAAGCTAAGCAGGGCCGACTCTGGCAAGGACTTGGATGAGAG